ATCAAAGAGAGGGGACAGGACCCCTAAGGGGCTGCTGGCCTCCAGGACCTCACTAAATCCACCGAGAGTGGCTATCACTTCTCCTACACAGGGTGATTTTTGGGGCCCTACAAAGGCCCCATCCCACTATGTCCCTCTCACTCCAGGTCACTCTGCCTGGACAGCCTCCGAGTGACAGCAAGGGCTCCCTCTGTTCAGAAGGAAATCTGGAAGGCTGATGAAATGAAAATAACCCAGGAAAGGGTATCCCAGGGACCAAGGGTCATAAACATGACCAAGTCTGGTCTCACCTCACAATTACACGGATGAAAAATCTCACCTCCTCCTCTGAAAACAGGCCCGGGAGGGGGCAGGCCAGGGGCTGCTTTTTGGGTAATAAGCTGCTACTAACGGAAAAGAGGAGTAAAGAGGAGAGGGTTGGTTCCCAAGTTCCCCAGTCCGGCTTGTTCATTACAGGACGTTGTAATTGAGAATTCAAACAATCACAATTTTTGAAAGACTAGAAACATCATATTACATACAGAATAAGGCGTGCACTGTACTTTGTAGGTCATCCTATAGGGTGCCTTTATGCAAAAGGATTGGAAAGTCAGTTTTAAGACTTACTGTGGGGGTTGGGTGAGGTAAGTAGGGAGAGGACAGACGCCAGGACAGTACAGCTGGGGGTGGAGGACTCAGGAGGAACAGCCAGCTGGTGACAGTCCAGGCAGGATGGAAGGAAGGGCTGAGCCAAGGCAGGGGCAGCAGGGTGGGGGGAGAGGAGTAGACAGCACTGGGATACACTCAGCAGGTATAATAGAATAATCGGGATTAGATGACTAAAACTCACCATCTTGCTTTTGTTTTAAAGTGTTATTTATCCATCCACACTTGTATTGCTGTCACTGAGTGTCAAGTTGACAGCTCTTAGCTAACATGACTCATTCCTCCTACTAACAGCCCTAGGAGGTGGGGGCTATCATCATCTCCGTTTTACAGTTGGGCCACAGAGAGAGAGAGAGATTAAGTCCCCTGACCAAGGTTGGACACCTAGTGAATTACTGTTAAAAAAATCAGAACTTCCAGTCATGCTCTGATGTTGACTTTAAACAAGTGGGTTAATTAAATCAATGGGGCAGCGCCCTCCACCTCACACATGTAACCCCCTGCCCAGCCAGGGCCAGAACCAGCATTTCTGAATAGGACATTCTGCCACTTTGGGGACATGTCCACACACCATCCTTCTCCCCTGGAACTCAACCTCATTGCTAGCAATGGTTTGAAATGCCAAAAGAAAAATAAAGTGCTTTGTTCAATAACTAAATAGAATTTAGACTGTGCCTGGGAGACCCAGAGAGGAAAGTCTGTGGCGAGGTTAACATTTTCCCTTTTGGAAGTAAGAAGCTCTCATTCAGGAGTGAGGCTCCTGTCAGGATCCTCAGCAAATGGGAACTGAATCCATGGGAGCAGAGTGCCCCACTGGTCTTATTCCAGGCTGGTGAGTGGAAGTGGGTGACGCTGGGACAGGGGCCTGGCTTTGCTGGGGATGTGCTGTCATCCTCGGTCCCTCCACTGTGAGAGGATGACCCTCAGGCCCGCCTTGCCCTCTGATTCCAGACTTTAACCAGGCTCCCCCTGCAATCAGGTTATGCTTTCCCTGGGCTATTTTTCTAACACAGGGTCCCCAGTCAGCATCCACAGTGGGACCAAGGAGGCCCAGAGACCTCTGCAGTTTTATGTCCCCTGTGTCTTTCCACGTTCTTCCAGGGGTGGTCATCGTCAGATTTCATCATCATTTCATCCGATTCTGAAAAGTGTCTGTGATCCAGCTGGGGCAGGCAGTGGGACGGGGCCTCTGCCCACTCTCTTCCCTTTCCACCCCCACTCCTGATCTGAGCTCTGCCCTCTCTGCTCCAGGCCCTTCTCTGGACTGCAGTTGTGTGTAGGAGGCTTTCCTAAGTGCATTCCTGCTCTATCAGTAACCCAACGATGTGGCACTCCCAGGTAGCAGAACCTCAAGCTGTTAGAATGGACGTCTTCAGAAGGCTGGTGACCCTTGACCATTCCGGAACTCCACAGAAGTGTCCCTTAAATGCCTTTGTACCCTTCAAACTGGGGCAGGTGTCACAGTTCCCTCCCAGTAAATGTCACCAAGCCAGTGTCTTGGCCCAACAGAGAAACTTGCCGCTCAGCCCAGAATAAGCCACCAGCCTCAGCTGGCTTCCCTTGGGGACTTGGGCTGTGGCATGGAGTGGCCTGTGTTCAGAGTGAGTGCTCAGGGGCAAGGCAGCTCGGCCTCTTGCTGCCCTCGGGGGCAGCCACATCCCGCGACTGTTCACCAAGCACCGTCTGCCATGTGTTTCTCATCACACCACTATTTGTAAAAGCTGCCAGAGAGCCAAGACATTGTGGGAGCCTTTTTTCCCCTTAGCTCTATTTTTTAAAGGAGAAAACCACATACGAACACTCCAACAATTTTTTTTTAATTACATTTGCTCCCATGGAGCATTTGGTGTCAAAATGAGGAATCCAGGAAGTCTCAGGTTGTTTCCAAATGAGACTAACATTCATCCCTTTCCTTAGACTGACCCAGTTACCACTCAACAAGGAAGTGTTGGGATTAGTGCTGGGATCACTGGTGAGAATTGCTGGCCCTCGCCTTTCATCTCTGTGCAATGGCCAGAGATCAAAACAGAGCTCCAGAGCCGCCTCCGGCCACCTCTCTACCAGCATTTGCTGCATGGCCTGGGGCAGGCTGCTCTTCCTCTGGGACCCTCTTGTTTTCTCATCTCTAAAATGAGAGCTAAAACTACATAGGCTCCAAGCAGCCCTTCAGTGCAAATTCTACAATCCCATGAGCTTCCCAAAGTCCTCTCTCAAAGCTGTCGTTGTTTTAAATAATCTCAGCGCACAGATGCTATGATACTAATTCAGGAGGGTAAACTGATACAGTTTAGTGACATAGTGTGTCCTTTAGTCAGTCAAGCTAGCAAGGATGATTTAACTATCAACAGAGTTCAGGCCACTGACGGAATTGGAAGATGCATTGGATTCATTTTTTAAAAAATACATAGAGATACTCACAATAGTGAAAAATAAGAATGTTTTTCTAACCCTCTGGGAGGAAGAGAAATAGCCTCTGGCCCTCTCGCAGGGTGGCTTGGTAGCTGAGGGTATGAGCTTTGGAGTTAGAGTGATTTGAGTTCGAATCTGTATCACATAGAGTTGCACTGTGCTTCAATCCCAAATCCACCATAAAAACTCCAGGGCTTAACAGAATATGAATTTGTTTCCCACTCATGCAAAGTCTGAGTGGGGAGTGTGGCCCTCTTCTATCTTGCAATTTCTGGGATACATGGCCCCCCAAGTCTTCTTTAGCAAGGGAAGAGTGAGACAAGGGTCATGCAGTGTTTTTCAGGGCCAGGGGCTTGAGTGGTTACATCACTTCCCCTCTATTCCATTGGCCAGAATCCAATTACATGACCCTAACCCAAGTGAGAAAGAAGCAGAGAATCGTACTTTAAGAAGTGCAGGACTGTTTAGTAAGAATGATTAGTCTACGCCACTATAGGCAGATTACTCAAGATCCCTCTGACTGTTAATTCTCACATCTATGTAACAAGGACCATACTGTTGATCTTCTTAAAGGGCAACTTAGAAGATACTACTGCTGAGTCTAGTGCTTTATATAAAGTAAGAGCTCATTAAAAGGTAGCTCAAAGAGTTAGAAAGAGAGGTCAGTGCCTGTTTTGTGGCCATCTCCCAAGTGTAACCGGGAGGACAATTGGTGACCTTAGTTCTTAAAACCACAGGCCCTAAGGGATGTCTTTTAATGAATAAGCCAGACCCCTTCCACCTCCAAGGATCTTTTAGCAGAGATAAGGCAAACTAGCACACACTCAAGCATCAGGAAAGTCAGAAGCATTGACATCCTCTCCAGTGAGGAAACAGAAACAATGCAGGAGGCAGAGCGAGGAAGTCTTTCCACTTTTCAGCTCCTTAGAAAAAGGAGGGTCAGCACTCAGCTGCCAGGAGAGCCCCCCAGCCTCAGCAAAGCTCACCCCTCAGTGGTCCTTGAGAGGTGCTTACTGTGTGTCGACTTAATTGCATGGGGTCCTTCTGTTTGGTGGCAGGGTGGCCTGTGGCCAGTCATCTGTTAGTCAGAAGGGACTCTAAAACCAGTCAGCAGTTATCATCTACAATTTTTTTCCACTCCTATTCTCTATTCTCAAAAAAGCAATTGATTATTATTTTTTTCTGTTTGCTGAAAAGCCAATTGTTTTACTTCCCAGATTGAAGCTTATATGCAGGTCTAAGATGAATACATTTGAAATAAGATGCCTTAAAGCAGAGTGGAGAGAAATTTCCATCAGTTAAACCAGGGACCAGCAAACTATATCTGTGAAGGGCCAGAGAGTAGTATTTCTGGCTCTGTGGGCTGTACGCTGTCTGTCCCAACCGTGCTGCTGTGTGGTGGCAGCAGCCATGGCTAGCATGTAAACAGATAGGTGTGGCTATGTCCCATAAAACATTACTTCCAAACACTGGAGATCCATTTTTATATTGTCTTCACACATCACAAAATAGCACTTTCTTTTGGAAATTTCTCACCATTTTAAATGTAAAACCACAGGTATAGGCCATAGTAGCCGACTTCTGAGTTACAAAAACCTATCATCTCTTTGATTGTTATCAGACCACATCCCAGTGCTATTTCAAAGATATTTCTATGAATGAAACACTATTTTCTGGACTTCTAGAGAAACAGAATGTCGTTTGTAGTCCACTTATTTGCATATTAAAAATACGGTGTAAATGTGGAGGTAAAATGGGTACACTTAGCATCCTGCACAGCAGCCTCCCCAAGG